TTACCCAACGAAGCACTGCTTCCCAATGAAACGGTAGGCGGGGGAGCAGCAAAAGAGTTAGAGGGCGATAAAACGAACGAACACATAACCAAAACGCACACGCAGAATTGGCCCAATTATGAAAAAGAAATTAACCCCCCGCCCCTAAGCCATCTACTGATGCAGCAGCTCGCCCCTTCCGATCGGCGCTGTTATCGACTGGGCACACACTGACATGATTTTTCATTTTTACAATTTTCTTCCTCCCCCCCTCCTTTTGCAGAATAATTTTTGAGTTCACCGAAAACTATGGTGCGCCTTACACGTGCGTCTACAGACTGAAGGTACATGGGAAAAGATGCATCCGGAAATTCAAGTAGCATACACGGGCTTCGTGTACAGCTTTTTTTTTTTTTTTTTTTTTTTTGTTAGCCCTGTCGGTGCTGCGCCTTAGGATTTACCCCACCGATGGGGTATACGATGTTTGGAACATATATGTGTGCACGAGTGTTATAGCCTCTAGAGGAAGTTCGTGTTATGTCCCTGCCTTCGTGGGGTTGTGCAATAGGGGGTAGAAAACTTGGGACAGCAAATTTTGCACAGTAAACTTCTCACTTTTACACTTTTCACCCCTTCCGTTGTTCCCTTCCGTTCTCCATCTTTTTTTTTTTTTTTCGTGTGAGATTCCCGTCATCCATTTGATCATGTCACAAATTATGAAAATTTAACCCGTCGACAATAACACATGTCGTTCACAGCTTTGTTAAATTTTTGATTCAAAAGTGTTATCCAATTCATTCTTCCTTATCGCTACAGTTTTTTTCCACCAAAATTCCGCCACCGCAACGGTTACTGCTACTGCAGTTAGTATTTCTATTGTTTTATTTTTTTTTTTTTCACCCCACTTGTTATTCTCTAGTTAAAACACATCCCCCAGTATTCGTTCGCCAAAAGAACGGGAACAAAAAAAAAATGTTTCACATTAACGTACGTGAAGTAATGCTAAGCTTGCGATAAGCTCCTTAAACGACGAACGAAAACGGCAGCTGGAATGGGAAGCACTTCATACATGCAAGGTCAAAGAACAGATGAAGAGAAGGTTTAGAACCCTCCACAGGGTGAATGTTATAAATGGAATCATACACGATTTCCCCTTGCGTATTTAGGCCGTCATTCAAGTTGACATCCCCACACATATCCTGCTGAGCGTCCATCGCACATCAGAATAATAATAGTCCAAACGGGACATGTGTTAGAAGTAGGCCCTCCCGAGTTTACACCAATTTTTCCGTTTCGAACATGCTTAACAAAGGCTTCACGGCAACGAAAATAATAGGGAAGAGGTGTTTCCAGTGGTGGGATAATCTGAACACCTCGTGGAAATTCGCAATCGGTTTTTCAGTTCTCTTTCCACCTCTGTGGAATTACAATGAAAGAAGAAAGGCAAGAGAAAAACAGGTGTACTACAACAAATCGATAAGGGATTATGTATTTTTTGACATAGCTATAGAAAATAAATATATAGGAAGAGTCCTGATAGGGTTATACTCTGACCAAGTACCTCTATCAGTTGAAAATTTTATTCAACTTGCAGAGGGGTACAAAGTTAAAGACAAATATATTGGATACAGAAATACCTTCATTCATAAAATTTACCCAGGAATTGGGCTAGTAGGAGGGAATGTGTTAAACGATAAGGAAGGCCTTAGTATTTATGGCAAGAAATTTCCTGATGAAAATTTCGACATGGAATTTGTACAGGATGGTGACGTGGCGTTGTTTAATGAAGGCCCTCACAGCAACTCCTCTCAGTTTATTATAACCTTTTCCCCAATGCCAATATTACACAAACACAATGTAGTTATTGGTACTGTATTGAAAGGGATGGATATAATTCGGATGATTGAAAATGTGGGAACCAAGTTAGGAAATCCCATGTATGACGTAAAAATTATTAACTGCGGTTTGTACAAAAGCTTGGAAGAGGATGGCCCTCCTTTTTTCAACATGACGTACATCCCGGACAAGGGAAACAAAAATATTATTTCCAAAAAGGAGTTTGAAAATTTGTCTGAACAGGAGAGACAGTCCTTAATGGAAGAAATTGGCAAATCGGAAAAACAGAGGTGAGCTCCGTAGAGCAGTAGTTATTCCTTCCAAAGGATGGGCGATTCCCATTCTAAGTGTATGCCCTCCCGAATGTGTAATTAAACCTTATTTATTATAACCCATTTTGTAGCTTCTTTGCAATATGGGGAAAAAATTTGAAGCTTTTTTTTTTTTTTTTTTTTTTTTGTATCCAATGGGAATTTTTTTGTGTGTATTTTTAGCTAGCTATTTTTTTTACAATTTTGGCTAATTTTTTTTTTTGTGTATATTAGCTATATTATTCATATTTCTACTAAATTTACGATTTTTTTTTAATGCAATGTCTGAGTTACCCTTTGGTTAGCCCACTTCGCAAAAAACTTTGTATAATAAATTTTCCACATTGTAGCAATTGTGCGTGTTCCCATTTTCACAATTTTTACGAACAAAACGAACAGTTTGAAAGAAAAAAATGCAGTTATTCACAAACATAATCAACGTTAAAAATGCTAAATGGAGATATTCAAAATTGTTACGTAAATAAGTAATATGCACACTTGTGGGCATTGCGGAAAGGGGCCCATTACAAAGTAGGCACCGCTGTAGTGCGCTGCTCATGCTACTGGTTTCTAATGGTCTTTGATAATGCCAACTATGTCATCATCCCTATAGACAAAAAATTCTTCCCCATCGATTTTTAAGGAGGAACCGCCATATTCAGGCAAAACAACCACGTCGCCTTCCTTAACGCTAGGGGGGACTTTGCTTCCATTGCTCGTTATCCTTCCTGGCCCAACCGCCAAAACCTGTAAAAAGCGGCATGAACCACATGAACGGGTTAAATAAAATTCAAGCCGAGGTACACATGAACGGGAAAAATGAAAGAACGACATTGCACTACGTTTTAGTTAGCGCAACTTTGTACATGGGAGGTGTACCTTGCCCGTGTAGGATGGTTCCGTTGCACTTTCAGGCAAAAAGAGGCCCGATTTTGTAGTAGTCTTGGGAATGATTTTACTTATCAAGATTCTGTCCATTAAAGGAATAAACTTTTTAGCTGCCGTGGAACTCTGCAAAGGGGTTGGTTTCACTATATGTATAAATTCCTTGCATAGGACAAACTGGGCATATACGTTCACGTTGCACATTTAGCGAACTCTTCTTTTTAACAAAAAATGGGTAATATGTACATTTTTGATATGTATATACCATAGAAACGCACTTCATTATGCTGCACATAAATGAACACGCTTCTCTGAGCATACACAACTGTGTACGCTATTTCCTCTTTGTTGCAAAATTACCATTTTTAACTCCTTTGTAGAATATGTAGAAAATATGAAAAAATCTGTGTTGCAAATTCTTTGTTATATAATATGCCTTTAATTCCTTCCAGGTAATTAACAAATGTCGTTTGAACAAAAGAAGTTTATTGTTTGCTTTGCTTCAGCTCCCGTTTACATATAAATGCTTCGCATACGTTTTTGCTTATAAAACTGAGTAGATGTTTCCTTTTTGGTTGATGAAAAAAAAATATAGAAAAATATATGTACGTTACTTTAAAGGTATTATTTAAACATTTTTGTCGCCTTGTTAAGGGTACTTTTTATATGCGCAATATGTATTGTGTAAAGTTGAACATATATAAAAAATTTCGATTTTTTTTTTTTTTTGTACTTTTGTTCGCACCTTGAATAGTAAAACATTATATAATGAATCCCTCAGCTGACAATTTGTATGTATTTCTTTTTTTACTATAGAAAGGGGTGAAAAGTACCTTTCAATCTGGCCTCTAAAAAACGCACATAACATGTATGTTCAATATGACCGTATTATATATTCTGCGCACATGTTCCCATCGGAGCCGTGCACGCACCTGTTTTAGGCACATAAATATAACTGACTGTTTCCTTTAACGTTGTAGAGCACCTAAAAAAGTTAAGCAGCAGGTATACGACGCGGAAGGTTTGCCAGGAAAAATTCTTCTGCCTGTTTCATTTTTTTTTTTTTATCTTATCCCCCATTTGCCAATTTGTAGTTTGTCACGCAGAATGTATACACCAAGTTTTTTTTATTCCGCCTTAGGCGATAATTTTCTCTCACACATGACACCCCTTTTTCTGATGCAACTGTAAGGGTTACGAGAAGGAACTCCCTGTGTTAAATGCTTTTCACCAAATATCAGGTTTTTCCCGCGTGGTTAAATATTATATATGCCGTATGTGTACGTACCTCCAGTTCATGTAGGCAGATTCTTAAAAAGATGGAGAGAAATACTTTGCGCCACTTTGTTGCCCTTTACATCTGCTAGTGATGCACACCAGGGGAAATAAGCACAAAAGTATGTCCCATAAGTGGCAAAACGTGGTTTACCAATTATATAAAAACGGCTAATATTTATTTCATCGTTTTTATTCTTAAACAATATTGATTTGGTAACTGAAATGTTGGAGTTACGTGAAATTTTAATTTAAAAAAAAAAAAAAAACAAACAGAAAAAATAAGGCACGACATAAAATGTAAAATATGCATAGAAAAAAAAGCACCTGATTTGTCCTTTTTTTTCCAAAAATAATTTACATATTATGAGTAAAAGTATACGCGCACACACAAAAAAAAAAAAAAAGAAAAAATGGTGGAATTAATTTAACACTTGTAGTTTTATGGAAATTGGTATGAATAAGCGTTATAACTTTTGCTTATTCCTTTCGCGCTCTCTCCCAGACGGGCGCACGCGAGCACACACATATGTATACAAGCACACATATACATGCATACATATATATACCCATTTATGCATCCACTTGTCACACGTTGGAGCCCCTGCGGGCGGAAAAGAGACGTTTTGTAACCCCCTCCCCCGTCGCACATTATGCTAAATTTCCCTCTTTTTACTCCAATTTCACACGTTTTTTCCCCGCTGAAGCTACTTTTCAATCCTCCAGGTAGGCAACGTCTGGCACCCACCAGGGTAGGAGGGTCATGAAAAACATGACAACCGATTGGTAAATATATTTTTCAAACTTCGTTGGCTTCCGTCTCGCGTTGATGCTGACGTTATTATCCCCCTCCTCTGGCGTGTTGTGAGGAGCGTTTTCTTTCTTCTTCAATGCGGAAGAATTGCTGCAGTGGGATTGCCCACTGTCTATATTATTCTCCGAGTCGTCACAATCGGAGTTGACAAATTCACTCATACTGTTATTTAACAGATTGTTAAATGTCGTGCAGCTGTCATGGAAATACATCTTGTTGTTATTGCGCGTGTTGCTTGCACTGTCATTATGCGCATTGCTACTGTCGCCATTAAGATCATCATTGTTGCCGCTCTTTTGATCACCGCTGCTAATATTTTTTCGTCTTCTCACACCAGCGCATAAGAGATTCTCCGCGTCGCCACTATTCGCTGCACCCATTTCGCGAAAAAGATCATCCGTAGCATCGTCCAAGTAGCTACTATCCACTTTTTCATTTAAATTTGCGCATGAGTTTAATTCCTCATAGGAATTATTTTTTACTTTTAATTCAGTTCCCTGTGTCTTCTGATCGATCTTTTTTTTTTTAAAAAAAAAAAAACTTTTTTTTTTATCTTTTTCGCCACATGTTGCACTGGTATTATGCCCACCTTGATTTGTCCCTTTCGAATTATCATTATTAAGTTGGTAATTAAATTCGTCATATAGTTCATTTACAAATTCGTTATTGTCTACATTTGCGGGATTTCCTTCTTTCCATGCAGCATGAACGGGATCTGTCTCATTATTAATGGAATTTATAGGGTGCAAAGCAGATGATGCTACTTGTTCCCCTGTGTTTGTTTTATTATTGCTGGTGTTTTCTTCTCCCTGACCCACCGCTCCGTCGTCTAACTCTCCCTCCGCGTCTCTCCCGTTTTGCATAAATTGCAAATCGCTTGCGAGTTGGTGACTGTGGTTGTCATCCACAATTTCCCCCTCTTGTTGCCTAATTTGCTGTGCTCCTTCATTCAAGTTATTCACTTCCGCTGTGTGTTCGTTAATGAGCATATTATTCATATTCCTCGATTCTCTCATGCGTCTTAGAACCTGTTCTATAGATTCGTTACTTGACATGAAACTAAAATTGCTGATTAGGAGATCGAAAAAACCTCTGTTGTACAGGATAAACAACCCAGAAACGATAAAGTACATTTTTAAACTTGCTTCAAATAAAAATAAAACAAATAACATTTTTAACAAAACGAATAGGTGAAACCTTTCCATGATATCCATAATGTAATTATTAAAATGGGTTCTTGGGTTCGTTCGGTTGGTACCATTTGCTTCATTATTCAGCCCGCCATTGTTATTTTCCGCATTGTTATTACTACCATTATTATTGCTACTGTCTCTATTTCCGATGGGGGCTTCCCCATTGAGATCGCCGTTCACTTTATGTTCGCCTTTATCCGCCTTGCTCTCGATTAACTGTATGCTTTTTAAAAATTCCTGATTCTCATTTGATTTAATTAACGTGTCGATAAAATAATGCTGCGAAGTGACATTTTCGTTTAGGTAGTTATCTCCCGCTTCGTCTTTTATGGCTGAAATTATGTTATGGTGAAAATATATATTTTTTATTTGATCCTGATATTTTGATAATCTTCTTGCATAGGTTAGGAGCAAAATTTTATAAATCCTCGTTTGTTCTTCTTTCGACTCATGATCTTTCACTTTGCTTTCTGTTTCCATGGTGTCGGCGTATTATAGTGTAATGGTCTCTAAATCCGTGGTGACGGTGCAACTAGCGGGTCCATCGACAAACATATACTCGCATGTAACGGTAACACAATGTGAGGTGAGAAACGGACAAAGCTATCACATGTGTAGGGGTGTGCCTCTACTTGAAACACACCGCACAAACGAGTACACGTTGCCACTGCACATGGCTCGGATGTCCTTCTCCGAGTTTCGTATTTTTATTCACATGGATATTTTTAAAATGCTCACAAATATATTTCTATCTCTATATGTACGCATATTTATTCAATTATGAGGGGGGGTGCACGGCGGGGCTCACATTGCATGGGTCGCTGATGTGCACACCTACACTACAGTATAGGATACGCTTTTAAAGAATGTGCCTTGTAGATATGCATAACACGAATTGGGAAATTACATATGGGCCATGAGAATGGGAATACAAAAAGGGGGGGCAGACCGAGAAGAAGCCTGTTTGTGTCATGTCACACCCAAAGCGTGATAACATGAGCAAGCTTCATACACACGTTTGTGTCAACCCCGGCCGGTCACGATAACATGTGCCTAAGGGCGGTGCATGTTTAAAGTTCAAATAAATCAAAGGAATATGGTCATAAATAGTGTCTCCAAATGGGTGCTTCCTCCCTTACAAATACGATACTGCGATGGTATTATAAAAGTTTCTGTTCAAACAAATATTCTCTGTTCACAAAAAAAAAAAAAAAGATATGATTTTCCTTTTTTTTTTTTTTTTTTTTGCACAAAACTGGGGCTACTTTTCACTTCTAATGATATTTACATTCCCATTGCACTCTTTTGGTTAATGTTTTCTTTAGTGGTACTTGCGCAGGTACATAATCACAGCGCACGTTTCTGCTACTTCGTTTGCTCTGCAGGGGGAGGGGAGGTGTCCAGAGCGCCGATATCTGCACAGATTCGTCTAACTGCGCGTGATAATGCAAACGGAAAGGCGTACGTCGCGGGTACACAAACTCATACGAGCAGTCAAATGTACTTATGAAGAATTTTCCCCAAAGGAAATTTACCAAAAGGGGGACTCTTCTATGGACAACACTGCTATATACTTATGCAGGCAATGCCCGCTTACAGTTCTTCCTTACTTTGTTCTTTATGCCTTGAAAAAAAAAGTTACTTCTTTTTAAAGTAAGAAAAATATTCATTCGCGTACTTAAAAATATCGTCCTGAATTGGTATGTCAAACGTATACATATACATATATACATACAAATGAAATTTTTTATAAAAAAATGAACAGGAAATTGTGCAGCAATTACACGATATAATATGGCGATAGCTGCGTAGCGGGCGCTCTGTTTAAAAAATTAGTTTAAACAGAAATAGTGGGCAAAACGTTTGCACAAAATTGGCGAGTGGGAAAGAAAAAAGGAAGCAAAAGGAAACAAAAAAATATGGACCCATTAGCAGGGAAATAAAGAGGAACATGGTAACGCATGTATGCATAATAACGCGGTGCCATTTTTTCCCTTCACTTTTTTCCTCCTGTTTTTGTCCCCCTATTTTTTGCCCTTATTTTTCCCGCGATTTATCCCCATGCATATCCGTTTCGCATTTTTTTCACGGGTTTAAACAACTTCTATTAATAGCGAACATTTTTGGAAAAACATGTGGAGCATAAATCCTTTTTTTTGGAAGACCACGCTTTTTGTTTCTATCACCAAATTTGCGTTGAATTTTTATTTTGCTTTTTTTTTATTTCATTTTTATCATTTTTGGGTGTTCCTTTGGGTGTCCCTTTTTTTCCGTTTCTTAACGCTCGCACAATCGCAATTGAAGTGAACAACGCATCGCCATTTTGTTCATCCTTACCGGTGTATGTAACAAAGCGGAGGATATGAAGTCGTTCAACAAGTCCCGCAGCTCTGGGTGTGTCTCCATGTACTTGGCGTTTTCGTTTTTTAACTTATCCTGGGGTGAAGAAGCAGTCCAAATGTGTGTGTAAGTATGTATGCATTGATGTATGCTCGCCCATGTAGGCATATAATTATGTGTATATTTTCTTGTGCCGTGCGCATACGGTGAACGAGCATGTACATGTGGACAGATACGCGCAAGAAGGTGTTCCCATACAGGACACCCCTAATGGAGAATTAATTTAATTCGCACGCGCTCCGCTTGTTGCATATCCATTCGTACGGTCTCCACGTCAAGTTTATCCTTTTCAATCAAATTGAGATCCTTCTCTTCCATTTTTATGTAAGTGTAGTACACTGTGTGGAGGGAGCTACTTCGTTGGCGCGTATCTCCTTTAAAATGCGTGTGGCAGAGGGACTCTGAATATACTTTATCGTGTTTTTTTTTTTTTTTTTTTTTTTTTTTTTTTTTTTTTTTTTTTTTTTTTTTTTTTTTTTTTTTTTTTTTTTTTTTTTTTTTTTTTTTTTTTTTTTGTTTTTTTGTTTTTCACACTTCCATGCCTTCACTTTTTCACCCTACTATTTATACAACTTGGGTGAAGCAAATTCCTCAGTAGAAAATATTTTAAAAAGCGAAATTTCCCAGATGGGTTATACGCGGCTAGCACTATTGAGCGTTTGCATTTGTGCACCATTAAACTGTCGGAGAGGCCGGGAAAAGGTGCCTCCACATATGCGCGCGTATACGACATCACTACGTTTCATCCTTTAACGGTCCACGTGAGGAAATTTAAAATGTGCTCGTATACAAACGGGGAACATATGTTAAAGTGCCTTGTTTTTTTTTTTTTTTTTAATAACCACATTTATTCGTGTTGAAGCGAAAAGACAAAGGTTAACATGTTCAATTGCGGCGAAAGGCACACACGCGTGTATGGTGCGTTAGAACTCCGTCTCTCCCCTGAGCATATTACAGAAAGCATCGTATAAAGAGTCCCCAAGCTCATGTTCAAAAAAAAAAAAAAAAAAAACAAAAAATAACGCACACTAAATGTATCACACTCAAGGCGCTCACTCCATTATAATGACAAAGTTATACCCCTTAACTTACTTGAAGGGAAATAAAATTTTATTCCGAAACCCTAAACAGTACTATAATTATGGAACAACAAAAGGGGTGATGACTCCACAAAGTCTTTGCCATCATTTTAGAAGACACAGATGTGCAGAGACGGTATATTCATTTTATTATGAGAATTTCTCAACACTAGAAAGGAATAATAACCCGTCTGAAGGCCAAAATGAAGACCAGGAGGGTAAGTGCCATAAGCGCGATTCTTTGAGCACAAGTGGAAAGGAGCAGGGGAGGGTAAGGGAAGCAAACAATACGGAGGAAGCAATAAATGGAACTATGGAGGAAAGACACAACGAGCCAATCTCGACAGATGATGTATTCCAAGAATTTGGATACAAATATGAAAAGCACGAACCAACCATGTTTGGTGATTGGGCCCATAAATGCAGAGTCACAGATTTTTAGGTACCCGCCTTTTTCCTACTATGATTGGCCAAATATGTAATCGCATAATATGTGCATCCCCCCCCCCTCATTTGCGGGCATTTAGCGCTCTCCAAATTTGCAAGATTCGAATGATTGAACAGGAATGTACTAGCATTTATCCCACCAAACGTATTAACACATCAATTTAGCAGACCTTCTTAGGTTGATGGGATTTTTCGAGTTCTCGCATTTTTTGTAGTGTTGTGAAGGTTTCAAAAGTGAGACGGACAAAAAAGAAGGGAAGTTTTTTTAAAATCGTGAATTATGACACCTGTAGGGGCAGTCCTTTTTTGTTGGTGAAGAAACAAGCGAGAGGCTTAGAAGTACTGCTTGGAGCCGAGTTGGCGGGCACCCCCCCCAGACACGTAGGAATGGAAGGCATGTCTGTGCGGATACACAAATACGCAGAGCAGTAAACACGGGCATTAGCAGAGACATTCGCGGAGATATACACAGAGGGACACACAAAAACAGAAACGGCAAAACCAAGCCGAACGAATTTACGACTCGCTGAAAAAGTCGGAAGAAAGCAGCTTCTCAATTCTGTTGAGGACAGAATTACACTTGTGCTCAAAATTTTTCCCCAAAAAGTTGTCAAGATCTTTTATTTTATTTTGAATTTCATTTTCCATGTACGAGATCTGCAAATTTGTGTTGACGAAATTGTCGTTCATGGTTAGCCGTTTAATATAATTTGAATTGACGTCCATATTGAAATTATTTTCCATGGCGAATTTATCCATATCGGAAGTTTTGTTTAATTTATTGGACATGTCTAAATCAAAATGGTTAGAAGTATTTATACCTGAGTGGTTCATAATATTATGAGACCCGCTCATTAAAAGTTGCGAATTCGTAATGGATGTTGAGAAGTCCTTACACATGTCTGTGCACATTTTATTTTCCTGATCGAAGGAAAACTCCACATCACTACCTTCCTTATGTCCCCCCTTTTCTAAATTTTCAAAACTGTGCTCTAATTCGTGGTAGTGCATTTTACTGCCCATTTTTTGAACGTCTTCATTATGCATGAGAGGTGCATGTGATATTCGAGACCCACGGGACAATTGTGGCACATGGCCATTGCTGTCGTCCCTGGAGAAATAATTCCTACTTTGTTCTTTTTTTAAATTATAATTTTCGGAACCACGAATCATGTCATTTGTTTGTCTCTTTTCATAACCTTCCAAACCGTTTCGTGATTTCCCCATTTCGTTTACACCTTCGACTTGTCCATTTTTCACACCCCACTTAGTTTTAATACCCTTTTGGAATGCTTGTAACAAATCAGCCTTCTGTTCATCATCGCGGACACACGTATTGAATTTTTTATAAACATGTGGGACGTTCTTCTTCGGGACATATTCACTTCTGTTCAAATGGGGCCTGCTTCGTCTGTTATCATAGTAGTGCTTCATTTCATTTAGATCCTTTCTGTTTTGTTGAAATGAGTGGGATGGTTGAGGTGGTCTTTCTTCCAAGCTATCATTCGAATGGGCCGCGTAGTCTTTCGAGCGGTCCGCGTAACTTTTCGAATGGTTCGGGTCACACTCCCCATTGTTCATACTGCCGCTGGTGGCGCTTTCCGTGTGGCTGCGGCTCGACCTGGACACGCTGTGACTAAATTTAGAATTCCCAAACGTATCATTCGTCTCTGTCAAGCTCTTCCACATCTCGTTATGGCGACTTTGCGAATTCATCAGGCTGTTTCGAGACTCCTCCAAAGTGCCACTCGACTCTTTGTAAACCTTATTTTGGTTCATAAGGTTATTACTTGGACGATGAGAAATACTCCGTAATTGCATCTGACTGTGTGTTGAATTGATTAGACTCCTGCTCGGTTCTGTGTGCACTACGTCCGAGATTACATTGCTGTAGTGCGCATTGTGTGAATAGTTTCCCTGTTTGATAAAATTGCTACGTTCTTCACCCATCTCATTGCTCATTTGGTGTTGACTCTTATTTAAGCTCATGGAGCTACTATTATTGTCTGACATATTATCATTGCATTTGTGCATATTATATTGCGATTCGATTAGATGGTTGGAGGGATGCCCAAATTGTGAGTCTATCAAATGTTCTGGGTCATCTGCGTAATGTGATTCTATGAAGCTATTAGATGCATCTTCGTGGTGTCTTTTTGATTCCATTTTTCTGGTGTGTTTGGATAGACTGCTTCTATATTCCATTTGGCTACCTACCCTCATGTGATTATCTGCTGATTCTTCCGAGGTGTTCATTAAATGGTCTTGCCCGCTCTCACTTTTGAGTGAACCATTTTCCATGCCTAGCTCATTTGTAGACTCTGAAATGCTACTCACAGATCCGTTCAAATTAAAATTTAATTCTATTAAACTCTCAGGCATTCTCATAGTCCTGTTTTCAGATGGAATAATATTATTTTTGTGTTCCTCAAAATTTTCCCGCGATCTTGTTGTAGTGTGACCTTTTTTGGATGTTATTGAATACCTCCTCGATTCAATTAGCAAATTATTTACATGCATATAACTTCTCCTTGGTTCCATATGTCTGCTGTTTGATTGGTCCCTGCTGTATACCTTTTCTAGTTGGCCACTTTGCCGCGCTGAAATATTCTCTGCTGATATGTCGTTGGCATTTATAGACTTGGATAAATCTTTCCTGGGGGGTAGACGGCTGGTTTGTGGTTGCAAAGAATTTCTCGCTGTGTTGTACTTGGGAAGTTGCTCACTGGGGTGTCCGCTCGACTCGATTAGGTGTTCTCCCAACTCCTCATGCACATGTATTGGTTGTGTGTAAGACCTACTGGAATGGATGTTGCTCCTACTAGCCCTCGTTAGCTGCCCCATCTCAGAATCTACGCTTGCTTTAAAATTTCCTCCACACATTTTTCCCTCCGTCTCTATCACATTACTGTGTAACTTTTTATAAAACTCGGCATTTTTTGAGGAAGAATTATTATTTTTTAAAAAGGGTTCATTGAAATTTTCCCTATTTCGGGTACTCACATTTTGTGCATTTCTTCCATCGCCAGATTCCACTATACCAACATACCTTTGCGAGAATTGCAGGCAGTTTTGGCTATCTCCAGCGGGGTCATTTTGATTTATCCCTTCATAGAAGTTACCACTTCTGTCGTTCCCAATACTGTCCACTGTGTCGCTTTTTTCCAACAAGTTTGTGTTATGATAATGCTGTCCCTCGTAAATTAGCTGCTCCTCATTTGTGGACTGCTCTGTGTTTCCCCCATACCTGTCATCAGATCCATTGTGCATGCCTTCTTGCACATCTCCATATGCCTGCAATGTCCTATTCCTTTGGATGGAATTGAGATTTGTCTCCATTTTTTTTTTATCCCCAATGGCTAGAGACATACTGCTATTTGCACTTAACTGAGACTGCATGTTTACCGCGTTCATGTTATCATAAAAAGGGTTGTCGTGCTCCCCGTGCACGTGGTCGGATCCGTTTTGACCAGTGCCTGCAGTGTTGTTAAAAGATTTACTTGAAATATAGGTACTATTGGGAGGCATATTTTCATTTACGGGTTTGTCCCTTTTCGGCGAGTCGTTTGTTTTTCCCTGATTGCACAGTAGTGATGAATTCTGTTTGTTATACTTTTGGCTTCCTACACATGGTTTAAATTCTTCGTTCATTTTGCTGTTTAGCTTATTTGGTACATTCCTGTCCACATTTTTAGAAATCATTTGGTCTCTTACACTATCATAATGAGAGGGGGTATTAAAGTTCGTCTCCTCTCGGTGGTTATAAACGTTGCTGTCACTGGGTACACTATTGTTTGAAACATTATTGTGTTCGTTGGTTTGTGCTAAGTGTTGTAGCTCACTGTTTGGAATGACTCCCTTTTGACTGTACTCCGTTGCCATGTCTTCGTTGTAGCTCTCCATGCCATATTCACTGCTGGAGTGGTCGAGATTTTCTTTTTCTTCAAAACGGGAACTGTTATTAAAATTTTGCTTTTGATTCGTTAATGAACCTATCTTGGAGGTAATTCCTATCTCTTCCTTAAAACTACCATCTAGGAAAGAGTTCGTACTCGTTTCCAACTTGTCTGTATCATTCGTATGGGATTTATTTTTTCCATTTTGATCAAGTTGCTTCTCACAGGCATCCACGCCATTGAACACATTATCACTTTTGAGCGTTCTATTTTGTTTCGTGTGTTTACTGTTTGCTATAAAGGCCTCTCTTTTGTTGACAGGCTCGTTTTTTTTTTTCCTAAAATAATGCATTTTGTCTGAGCAGAAAAGGGGCAAAGAAGTCTACTGTAAGCATCCCCCTCAGCGCTCACTAATGTATGATAATATGAGAACGCGATTCTGTTCCCCCGTTTGGTTTGAAAATGTGCCAATGTTTGACATATTTTCAAAAAAGAAAATGGCTCAAAAAGGGGGGCAGAAAAATTAATGGAAGCGTGGGTTATAATGCAATATGTTTTTTTTTTTTTTTTTTTTTTTTTTTTTTTTTTTTTTTTTTTTTTATAGGAACAAAATAGCAGATGTTTGCAAGAGAGTCACTTCTACGCATGTGCATCTGATGATGTCCACCCAAATGTATCATTCTTATATTTTTTTTTTTTTTTTTTTTTTTTTTTTTCTGTCTTGCTGCGGGCAAACTGTCTAACCCCTATGCGCCGCACATATACTCACTCGTAGGCAATTTTCTTTAAATTCAGTTTTCCATGTTATGTATCCCTTTAGTGAGTTTTAAATCAGAGGGGGGGTGAAGAAAAACATATCCCGTCTGTGACTGGGCTATTGTAGAGGGAAAACCTCAATTTGTTTTATGATAATTCTTTCTTCTTGTAAATTCGGAGGTAGGTATTCACTAAAAGGAATAGTATCTTTCTAGGAAAAGAGCAAAGCGCACATGTAGGGGGCGAAGACGCAAGTTGCTCATGTTGTGCTATTCACGGAGTAGCCTTACATGGGCACCAAGCAGAGGTCTGCGATGTTCCATGCTCCCACGAATGAGTACACCAGATAGAATCACACACACACACATACACATATATATACACACGCAAAAATGCGACACCCCTTTTTCCCCCTCAGCCGAAATGATAGAATTAAAGAACTTGGACTTTCACTTGGAAAATTTAGGTGAATCAAACAGGTGCTTCAACGATGAGGAAAAACTAGGGTTGCTATACGGCATGACAAATTTGGAGGAAAAAATAAACAAAGAGATTTATCTGTGGGGGAAAATAGAAGGCATACAAAATGACTATTACATAGTCTACTACCTCAATAATGATAAATTTTTTCCAAAAAAGAAATTTTACTACTGTAATGATGATTACGAATTTAGGGAAGTGACAAAGGGGAATGATAAGTTGATAGAGAAAGTGGAGAACAAGACGCCCTTCACGCTCTTCACAGGGGTGCCTGGCAATTTATTTTATGAGGGTAGCAAGTCCACGAGGGGGCAGGGCGGAATTGGCACTGATGGGATGGGAGGTGAAGCCTCCTTAAGTGAAAATAGTGAAGCCTCCCCAAGTGACAGTAGCGAAGCCTCCCTAAGTGACGGCGAAAAAAGTAGCACCGGGCAGAGCAGTAGCGAAAATAGTGACAATTCCAAAAGTAGACATCAAAATGAGGACTCACAAAGCGGCGAAAGCGAAACGGAAGGAGGAACCACAAAAAAGGAAAAGAAAAAAAATGTGGAAAAAAATAAACAGAAAGAAAGACAGAGCGATATCACGGAGCTTGAGAGACTATCTTATGTTGTTAGAAAAATCGACGAAGAAGCATTTATTGTACCTTACAATTCTGTAAAAATAACAAATAACTTAGAACTGAAATTTGCCAACTTCAGTGGATTGAATATGATAGAAGCACTAAAATTAACATCGTGGGTTCACTTTAGATACCCTAAAAATTTAACATACGATAAAATTAAGAGTTACAATACTTTTTTTTTGAATAATTTTCTCGATTCTATCAAATCAGATGTTCCAGCAAGCATGTGGAATGTAAAGGTTAATAATCAGTTAAGTAAAATTTCCATAATGAATTCTTTGTACCCTGGTTATGTCTTCTACCACCTGTTGAATACCCCCTTTTATGCCTCTGTGTATATAGGCAATGGGATTCCCAACTATGACCTCCCGTTTTTGTTGCCTTAGCGCAGATTGATCTCGGGATGATGCTGAGTAAATGCTCATTTGGGGGAGGACACAACAACAACAAAAAAATGAACATTGTATAGGTTTCAATCTGTGTTACGCAACTTAGAGATGTACTAAATTTTAGCACTCCCCGCCCCCAAAAAAAAAGAAAAAAAAAGAGCTGCGTTATATCACTGCCTCTACACCTTTGTCATGCAACTACTTGTGCACACCCACACATAAATGAACTACATACATATGGTTTTCAACCAGTGAACCACTTAAATGTAACACTTTTGTTCTTTCATTCACGCTGGTTTGAACGATACCCTCAATGGTCGGGTATGAATTCACACGCCTCCACACCTGTAGTAAAGATGTAAAAGTTGTCCCCTTCAAAAATGGTCGGACGATTAACAAAAAATTCCATATGGCTGCCACACGAGTGGCAATGCAAATAAAAAAAACGCTTTGTGCATGCCACACCGTTACAAACGATTACGAATGCGACGTGCTCTCCATAGGAGCTACGGGAGAACCTGTGTCCCTCCCGGCGAAAATGCCTTTTGATGGAACCATTCCGACGCTATGCCCATTTTGGCCTTACTTTAACTTGTTTTCCCCTTTACAGGGTGTGCTATTTATAAAAGCATACATTTTAAATATGGAATTTTGTCCCCTTTGAGGGTTATGAACAGAAATAGAAACACATCATTTTCTTATGCCCTGCTACCTTGCACAAGCGTGATAAGATACGTACCACGCTAGGAAAAAAAAAGAAATAAAAAAGACGGTTATTTTATTTTACTATTCTTTTTTGCCCTTGTTCTGGTAATCCCCACGCTTCTGCGCAGTTATCCACTTCGCCTACTTCACATATGCGCCACCAGCTGTTACACGCTACGAAGCCTTAGCTTCCTCTGTGGGTAGATCGCAACCACATCGAATTTGGAAAATGTGGGCTTCAAAAATAGAAGCGGAAAATGGATCAAACTTATTATGCCAAGTGAGCAAAATTTACTGTGTGGAAATTGGGTGGGGTGGCCATTTAGGGGAAATTTTCATGAGAATATTTCCTCGCTGTGCTAATCACAGGGGGATGGAAAAACAAACTTTCCGCGCATACGCGTTGCGTGTGAATTAAGCGCAATGCATACTGAGCGATATATGCGACATACACCCTTACGGAAGGTACATACCTGCAAAAGTATATGTAGGGAAACTCACATGCAGACTGACCAGTGAGTTGTATTGCAAATGCGTTTGCCTCGGAAATACTTAAAGTGGTGAGCGACGTGCGTAACACACGGGAAGGGTAACGAACTCAAGAAATTTAAAACATGCATTCGCAATCCATATACGCAAAAGAAGAATTGATATGAGAAAATACATGTATATAAACATTTGAACAACTTTTCTGCGCTTGACCAAGCTTTGCAGTTACAAATATGAAGATTGTGACCCTACTTCATTGCGCACTTTTTTTTTTTTTTTTTTTTTTTTTCCCATACCCCCTATGTTTTTTTATAATAAATGCAATATGGCTTTAAAAAGGAAATAAATAAAATTACGAAATTCGAATAACTGCAAACTGACACAGCGTTGCTTCGCTTCTTATCGTTTTTGTTTTATTTGCCTCGATTTGACTCCACTCCATTTGACTTCTCATTTGACTTTTCCCCCATTTCATTTCTTATCATTTGACTTCCTCCCATTTGATATATTCCCTCATTTGACCTGGTTTCCCTTTTTTTTTTTTTTGTTTTCCCCCACATTTGTTTGAGGTACGCGTGGAGTATTACCAATTTTTACGCTCGCCACACTACCTCCTTAAATGTATATACGTAGCGTACAATAAAAAACGTAGAAAAGCGTGGATCATGTTAACCGTATGGTTGGCCAGAAGCAGCCACGTTAAGAGCTCAAAACAGCCGCGCAAACGCGCTTATACAAAAGGAAAGGAAGCAAACCCACCCCAAACACGCCCACTTTGTACACATATAATATAGCATGATGATATGGAAGTGCACTCAGAAAGTTAAATGCAAAACCTTGTTCCTCGTCGTAGTTTTTCTTCTCCTCTTTGCAAGAATTACGAACAGCCAATTGATAAAATTAGATGGACAGAAAATAAGCACCAACTACATTCTATACGTTCTTAAGGGTTTATACATATTTGGCAAAAATGACACTCCTTACGTTTTGCTGGGGGAGAAGAAGGACATGGCAACGAAAGGGCCACATGCAATATTTGAAAATATCGGAATCAGTACAACGGACAACAAGAACACAAAATATTTCAGCTTCGACATAGATGACAGCAAAACAAATGACGAGGGAAAGAATGAAGCGGATGGAGAAAACCATTCCGACGAGCACACTACCTCGGAGACCCACAATAGCAGTGATGAGGACGATGAAGACGCTGATGAGAAGGACAAAAAGGATAAATTTAAAATCAACCTATATAAAGATAATCCTTACTTAAGAAAAAAAAAGGAGTATATGCACAAGTACGAGGATGATGAGGTGATAAACACAGGTAACTTATTTTTAGAAGTAGTTATAATGAAGGAAAACGATTTCAATAAGTTTTATTTACCAAAAGATTCAAACGTATGTTGCCACTCGGAAGAAAAAGGCATAGATGGAAATGATGCATATACTTGTCCAGGAAGGGGTTACCTAAAAAGGTACGTAAATGAGTCAAGTATGTATGCATTAAAATTACCAGTTTATTTTGTAAATGACAGAATATCGGACAATGATGAGGTATCGCCTCTAGAGAATGAAGTTAACCATGAGCAATTTTTAAAAATAATTCAAGGCCAACATATGTACAATATAGACGACACAGATGTGTACGCATTATTTTTATCAAATTGTTCAGATAGTAAAAAGTACGAGTTAGAGTTACATGGAAATATACACATTATGAATAAGTATGGATACCTACCAGGAGATAAAATACCAAAGCTAAATTTGTACGTTTTGTGTATGCTTATTTATGCCATATATTTGTTTGCTTGGATATATTTACTGATGAAGAACAAACAGTTCGTTATTAAAATTCAGATATGGATACTGGTATGTATATTTCTCTACCTGATGGAAAACGTCTTCCTCTTTCTGTACTTTTTGGTGTACAATTTACGCGCAAGGGTTAATAGCAATTTGCTCTTCCTTTCAGTATGTTCCAGTATATTAAAAAATGTGTGTTCGTATCTTTTAATTTTACTGGGCTCTCTAGGATGGGGATTAGTCATCCCAACATTGGACAAGAAAACATTTATTAAGATAAAAGTGCTTTTTTTCTTTTTTATCATTTTTGATTTCATAAAACAGTTTCTAGATATGCACTTAACCGATGCAGAAGTGAACGCAGTTTATTTCCTCTTCTGCATTATCCCAGTCACAATAATTTATTCTATCATTTACTTGTGGGTATTTACTTCAGCTAGCAAAATTATTATTCAGTTAAATGAAGATAAACAGTATGAAAAATTGAATATGTTCAAGAAGTTTTTTAATGTGTTAATTTTTTCACTTATCTTTTCAGTCATCGCTTTTATTATAGATATAGTTGTTACGCTTTTTGTGGATAATACCATATGGAGCTTGAAGTGCTACATTAGCGAGGGAATTATCAGCTGCTTGTTTTTGATCATCATCACCGCCATGTTCATGTTGTTCAGACCCTCGGACAGACTGAAGAGAATTTCGCACTTTACGGAGATCGGAGACATGGACGAGATGGAAGACTTTTCACACTTTAAGTCCTCCATGGAGGACATTTAGTGTAGGGATCCCGTCGTCAGAGTACCCACAACGGGGTTTGCCTTTTATCCAGTGCCCTGGTTCTGGTGTGTTTACTCCGTCCAAAGGCCACTTCTCATGCAGCATTGTGATAAAAAGCAACCCATGGACGTTTTACCAAATTGGCGTTTGCATTTACGAGTTGGACAGAGAAAGCGCAATTGTTAGTGGTGCGCTCTATGTAACATTTTTTCTATTCAAGCATATTTCCCATTTGTCACATTTTTTTTATTTTTTTTTTTTTGCGCCCAGCATACTCTGCTTTGTATAGGGTCGCATATACATGGACACATACACACCCTTACAAAAGTAACAGAGCTACTGATTTTTTCTTTCTATTTTTTTTTATAGTTCATTTCGCTTTATAATTTCCCCTTCTTATAAATAATTTATTAATTTGTTTTGATATAAAACTTAGGCAAAAAAAGTATGAAAAGAAAAAAAAAAAATAGCATTATGTACAAAGCGTATATCAGATGTGTGTCTCCTTCATGTGGGTATGAAGGTCGAATTCAATTTTTCTCCTCTTGTCACTTTAGCACTGTGTGCGTCAGTGCAGAATGGGCCGACAGAGCACATCACTATGCGCTCCCATCTAGGTGAAAATATGCATGTAGCACAGCGATGTGTTTTGTTTCTTTAACAGAAATTGTATAACTGTCACCGTCCCTGTTGCTATGAAAAAGTGCCTCTCCGTTTTTGTTACAGAAATGGGCGCTTCTCTTTTTTTTTTTTTTTTCCTTTTTTTTGTTGCCTATCTCTCTCCATGTTTAGCCACAACTTTTTGAGCCTTATTACGTACATACATATATTTACATATGTTAATATGCAAATGTACGCACACGCATGTACGTGTATGCATGTACCCTCCTCATACGGGCACCCCAAACCGGCTCGCTGATTGGAGTACTTCCACTTTTAAAACCCGCTTGTGTAAATTTTGAAAAGGTATCACACCTTCGAAAGTGAAAGGCTCCCACGTGTATTTTTTTTTTCCAAGTTGGCAAAATTAAACGCGCCTGCATTTTTGCCGCATCATCACTTGCTTTTGTCGTTACCGTTGTTGCTCTTTGTCCCCGCATGATTTTCCCTCCCAGTCACTTCGTACCTGTGCATTTGAGCATTTTTCTCCCATAGGCGGTACATTCTTATGCTATCCCCTAACAGCGTCGAGGTTCTCACATATAGATAACATTTCTGGAAAGGCAGGTGCCTTTTTTGGGGAGCTCTGGGTATATGCGCAGAGGGGATCAGGAAATGCCGCAACACATAGGGCTAATTTGAATGTAGGAATGGGAGGTACACACGCATTTCCCCACTGACACTTTTGATCAGACGCCTATGCGTGTAGGTGCAGAGACGCGCAAAGGCAAACAAGGAAGTAGCAGCGAGAGGGCCCAATATGTAGCATGCATATGAAAGCTGCCCCCCTATTGTGCATACTGCTATGCGTTGATTGGGCATTTGGAAGGAAGAACAAACATGGGATTAAGTCCTACATCAAGCCATGTCACGGGGACGCGCAATGGAGGGACCCACGTACAGTGAGAAAACACACACCCCTAGGGTGTAAGAAGAAATGGAGCGAAGTAGAACATAACGAATGTGGCATGAGTCTTAACATTTTAAAAACAAATGAAAAAAAAGTAATTGAAAATTTAAAAAAAAGAGGAATGGATAAAAATATAAACCATGTTAAAATGTTAAAGGATTTAATAGAGGAAAAAAATAAACTCGAAATGTTAAGAAATAATCTCCGAAATATGAGGAAAGTTTTATCAGATCGGGTAAAAAATTTAATGTTTGCTCAGAACACCACTGTTAACAGTGGACCCCAGGGTGAAATGTCTGAGGACGCACCCTGCATGGATAGGAGAGAAGTGAAAATGGAAAGACCGTGTCCACAAAAGGACAACCATTTTGAAGAATGCAATGTCGAACAAGTGAAAAAAGAAATAAACCAAATAAACGAACAAATTGATATTAACGAAACGAAAATAACACAATTGAGGTACAAAATAGAAGACCATTTCAGCAAGCTGCCAAACCTTTTACTAAGCAAAGTACCGAAGGGGAAAACAAACAAGGGAAGCAAAGTAGTCAAAATGTACAAAATAAAAAACGTCGAAATGGACACAGATAATACTTCCATAATACCACATGAAGAAATTTTAAAAAGATTCGACAATAATCAACACATTTTTACAAACATAACGAACAAAATTGGCTTTGGGTATAACATACTTGTAAATAATATTGCCAAATTGGAGAGGGCATTAATTAACTTCATGATTAATACACATGTAAATAAATTTCACTACACATATGTAAAGACGCCAGTAATAGTTGCCAGATCAGCCTTAACGAACACTGGGCAACTACCAAAATTTGAGAATGATTTGTTTAAAATTAATAACAATTATAAAATTCTAAACGAAGAAGCTTTTCTAATTCCTACTAGTGAAGTCTCTCTATTAAACCTATTTAGAAATGCCCATTTAGATTCTGAAAATTTACCCATTAAATTAGTGAGCCATTCTTCATGCTTTAGAATAGAAAAAAACTTTACCTATGGAAAAGGATCTAAGGGTTTGCTGCGTGAACACATTTTCGAAAAAGTAGAATTAGTTAACATCACCGATAGGAAAAGCTCTCATGTGTTTTACAAAGATTTAATTAAACATAGTGAATATATTTTAAAGAAATTGAAAATTCCTTACAGGGTAGTTCTTCTCAATTCTTTTGAAACTCCATTTTCTGCATCCATCTGTTATGATTTAGAAGCCTGGCTACCTAGTCAGCAACGATTTATCGAAGTCTCTTCGTGCTCCAATTGCCTAGATTTCCAAGCAAGGAAACTAAATTTAAAATATAAAAAGAAGGACAATAACTATTTCTGCCATACTATTAATGGGTCTGGTTTGGCCGTAGGACGTGTCTTGGCAATCATCCTGGAACAGTACCAAATAGGCGGGAGCTCCAAAAATGAAAAAAAGCAGCTCATCATTCCAAAGCCCTTGCAGAAATTTATGAACGCGTCAGTGATTAATTTATAGCGGGGTATGGCGCTGTATTATTTTTTACGCATCCTTGTTGCATCAGTAGATGAACTTGACTCCCACACATCACCTCGCTATGTAAATGGCCCCTCAATTTGTGTTGCACCTGCTTGATGTGCCCCCTAAACACATTTGCCGCTTCACCTGAAAAAACCAAAAAAATGTATAGCTGCGCAAAGCGAAGCATAATTTGTCATTATGAACCCATTTTTTAACGCACATGTGCGAATTATTTTTTTTTTTCCCCATCTTGGGATCACTAAAATTATATGCACTCCGACGGGGGCATGTAATATGTCGTTTACGCTAAACAGTTTTACGTGTTGCATATAATTGCGTATCTTTATCAGGCGATATTGCAATTTGACCACAATCAGGAGGCTTTCTTTTTATTCTGTTTTTTTTTTTTTTTTTAATTTTCACGCTTTTTACATGTTCATTTGCGCCCTATGGATAACTTGTGTGTGATTCTTTCCCCTTTCCGACTTTTTTAAAATAGCTACGATATGGAGAAGTTGAGTTTTTTTTTAAATGCTGTGAATACCACCTCAAATTTGTTCCATTCAAAGGGAAAAAACAGCGTTGATCAAGTATGCCCCTCTTAGCGTAACAATGTGGTATAGAGGCAGGATAAAAATGTAGAGCTGTGCATGTGAAGCGACGTTTGAGCATACATATGAGTATAAGCGTTTGTACGCTACAGCACAATGACACCCCCACAACACTGAACCTACACAGTGTTAAGGATTTTTTTTTTTTCCCACACCACGATGTTGAGTGTATTTCGGAAAAAATGCACCAATTTGGTTATTGCTCGTTACAAAAATAGGGCGGTGCGAATTAAGTATTGTTATAATTTGAAGCGGGAATTCTCCAATGGCAAGGCAAGCGGTGGTAAGATCGGGCAGCGGGACATCAAGAATGGGAACTGGAGGGAAAAAGTGAATCCACATGTGAATACAAAGACAAAGGGAAGGGCGCCCTTTCCCCCAAGTGTAGACCCGGATGCAGCTACAGGTGAAGAAGACCCCAGAGACATATATTTTAACAACAAAATGATCGAAAAAAAAGTAGCAGACATAATGATAAAAAACAGCCACAACGAATCCCTTTTTGAATTTCTGCCCATGGAAGGGAGAACGAATAAAGTACCACAAGGTTTTAAAATATGTCAATGCCTTTTTTTATTGACCCTTTCCAGTGGAGTGTTGCTCATTCACATACTACCAGAAATAGGAAGGGAAAATTACATACGAGACATTTTTTCCTTGGAGATTTATTGCTGTTCATGCATTTTAGTGTTCCACGGAGGGTTTAATTCATTGCTGCAATTAATTCAGTATGGAGTGCCTCCGACCAGAAAGTACAAAGGTTTGTACAACAGCTTACGTTTGATCTCCTCCATAATTCCTTTATTTTTTGGTTTAATAACATCATCGTTATGTGAAAGTTTTCCCAGAGATAGCATTTTACTTTTAATGCTATCGTACATGTCACTCTGGCTGAATTATTACCTATTACACAACAAGTGCTTAATTCCGGCATGGATGTTCAGACAGTCCAAGTTTTTAATTTGCTTCGTTTTACTTAATTTGGTTTTGTTGTTAATAAGCGAGGCGCAGATTTATAGGGGGCGGAAGGTTTCCATCCAGGTTGATGACTAACCACAAGAAAAGGGCAGTCTTTTTCGCTAAGGAGAAAAAAGTGTGCTGTGAAAAGAAATCGGTCAATGGGGAAAAAGATAAAGTAAAGCGCCACAAAAAAGGGAAGGAAAAAAGGAAAAACGCTGCTATATCACTGCTTCACTTTTCGTCTGTATATTTAACCCCTCCCTCGAGCATACGCACACGACGTTGTAACTTCTGCTAATTGTATATGTGCAAAGCGAACGGAAGAACTACTATTATGGTTGCCCTTTTACATACACGAACGCACAAGGGATGCACAGTATTATCTACATGTAAAACTAGTGGTTAAGCAGGTGTGTATAAGCGCTTGCTCAATGCGTAATCAGCACCCCCCCAATTTGTTAAAGGTTACATTGCGATATATGCACAAAGAGAGAAAAAAAAAATATATATATATATAAACATATGTACCTAAAAACATTAGCACACATTCGCAATTCAAGTTGAAGAGAAACAAACAAAGGAAAAAACTTCATCCAAAAAACGTAAAAAAAATTTTTTGCACACTTTTATAACTGGAATGGGCTGCCAGGCAAAGCAAAAAAGAAGTGGCACAATCGACATCATAAAGTCTATGCGAGTGTGGCACGTGTATATGTAACCATACATGTACACTTATTACTTACACCGAAATTATATGCGCGCACATTTGTCGCATGGATGGAAAGATAAATTAAAACACATGGATGACATGCAAACATTTTTTAAACCCTCAAAAAATTCGATCGATGAAAAAATATATTTCACTTGCAGGTTCCGCATAACTTACTTCATGTCGCTGTTACGTGTTTTTTTTTTTTTTTTTTTTTTGCCGCATAAAGTGGGCAAAATATACGCGAACAATTTTATATTTAAAAAAATAGAAATAGGGCCATTCGACGGTGGAGCACATATATCAAAAAAGAATCACGCAACAGCAAAGGAGAAAAAATAGAATGTGCGCATTATATACGCACATGCATATAACGCCCCCATAGTTACAAACACTCACAAAGGGACACCTGTAGAAAGCGCGCATAACTGATAAGAAGTATATATATCCAGAGAGAAGGGCACACCATCGCTGCGGGCCCACTGTTCACATTAAAAGTGCAGAGTTAAAACGAAAAGGTTACGACATATCACAGGTTGTGCATAGTATATATATATATATCTGTCCTAGAGTGTCGAAACTGTGCCATTTTTACAAGGCAAAAAAATGTACAGGAACCTGTTCGATAAGCTGAAGGAAGGCCCACTGAAGGTAACACCCAAAGGGAGAAAGCACCTGTGCTGCGTACATGCAAGTGTTCACACGGTCATATAAATATGTGCATACCCGTCCGCACACACACTTCGCCTGTCCGTTGCATGCAACAGCATTACAACTGTGCTCGCGTACAAGTCAATCGAATGTACACATATATATATGTGTGTGTTTTTTTTTTTTTTTTTTGCACACCCACAAACAGATATCCATCCTGGGCAGCGGAAACTGGGCGAGCGCAATCAGCAAAGTCGTAGCCACGAATGCAAAGAATAATTATTTATTTGAGAATGAAGTGAAAATGTGGGTACGAGACGAACTGGTAAACGGCGAAAATATAGTAGATATAATTAACAAAAAGCATGAAAACATAAAATACTTAAAGGGGGTAACCTTACCACACAACCTGGTTGCCTACTCAGATTTGTCCAGAGTGATTAATACTGCTGACCTGTTAATATTTATAATCCCATCCCAATATTTAGAAAGCGTATTGATGTTAATAAAAGAAAATCAATCCATTAGGATAGAGAAGCATGCAAAAGCTATTTCGTTAACTAAAGGTTTTATCATTAAAAATAATCAAATGAATCTTTGCTCCAAATACATTACCAACTTTCTGGACATTCCCTGTTCTGCCTTGTCGGGTGCTAACATAGCCATGGTAAGTGTGTCTGCAATCCCTACGTGAGGGAAGCATCGTGAAGAGTATATATGTTCACCTATCCACACCATCACATATACTGTGTGCACCTTTTGCGTGCGTTTGAATTTGCCCTTTTTTAACAGGACGTAGCCATGGAGAAATTTTCCGAAGCCACTATAGGAGGAAATGACAAGGAGACGCTGCTAATTTGGCAAAGGGTTTTTGATTTGCCTTACTTTAAAATAAACTGCGTTAATGAAACTGTGGGGGTTGAGGTAGGGCACCCATATATGAATAAATATGTATGACGTCGCTGCTGCTATATTAGTACACAAAACATGTGTTGTACTTTTCCCACCCCATTTACCCATTACATAATTATCTATGACGCACATTTTTTTTTTTGTTTTTTTTTTTTGTATTAACACTTTCCCTTCTCCACGATGTGCAGATTTTCGGCGCCTTAAAAAATGTCATAACGTTAGCATCTGGATTTTGCGACGGACTAAATGCTTCCTCCAATTCCAAATCAGCGATTATCAGAATTGGAGTTAAAGAATCCTTCCTTTTTGGGAAAACATTTTTTAACTATTCCGATGTGAACGTATTTTTTGAGAGCTGTGGTTTGGCTGATATCATCACGTCCTTCCTCGGGGGAAGAAACGCAAGATGCTCTGCGGAGTTTGTGAAGTGTAACCCGAAGAAGACGTGGGAACAGCTGGAGAATGAAGTCCTCAAGGGGCAAAAATTGCAGGTCAGTAATTTTTTTTATTATGAAGAGAATTGGCTATGCATAAACGATTCGATCACAGTGTTTTTGCATCCGATTGGATGTAGTGGTTGTTACCCCAGTTTGTAATGTCTTTTTTTTTTTTTTTTTTTTTTTTTTTT